TGACTCCAGTTTGTTTACCAGATGTAAGCATCAAAATAGTAGAACACATGGAAGAGATATTCCTATTTATGATGGATTGATGTTACTAGAAGCATTACTTCCCAAATAGAATGTTTCTTCTCCTCAGCTTTTTGCTTGTTGAAGGACCAAGTCACGAGGTACATAGTTGCAGTGGGAAGAGTTATCAACCGATTTTAGAACTCAATAGGAATCTACTTGATTATATTTCCTGTGCTCCTTCCACCATGGGATTTAGAACTCAATACCCCAGCTGCTTTGGAGTAATGAAAGTGTAGCTTGATATATCCTAAATGTAAGGTTTTTGCTTCACAGGGTATCATAAATCTCATCTATTGGTCATCATTGTTTGGCTTGTATTTGCCAAACCAAAGCCTAACACAGCCGAGAGGTAAGTTTCTAGCAGTCAGCTTTGAAACTCTACTAACTAAAGTAGGGTTTACAGAAATCTGCAATGCAAAATAAAGGGAAAAAAAAAGATTAAAGACATCATATCATGCAAAGTGGATAGCATCTAAACAATTTCTGTCATCCTCAGATGTTGATAAGTTCAATGTAAGAATTTATTGGAGACATAAAAGTAATAATGATCAGAAGGAAGAACATCTTCAAATATCATTCCATGTGGATAGGAAGATGATTTTAGAGAAAGTACACTTACTGATATGCTTGACATCCCATGCTGAGCTGACTTTGAAGAGATATGGGAATCTCAAAAGCTAGATTTCTCACAAAATGGGCTAGCAACAATAGGGGTTGTGATAGTATTGGTGCTCTGATCAAACCTGAAACAATCATGAATGCTATCTACTGACAATAAGAAACTATGAATGAAATAAAAAGGCATAACAAATAGCCAAGAAAACAATGACATAATGACCAATTAGAATTCACTCTTTCCAAGCGAACTAATGATATTGATGACACTACATCGTAGATGGCTTACAGATAAATCTGGGTTTTTTTTTTCAAGCAGGGGGTTCAACAATAGGGATCTAAAATATCTTCCAGTTTAGCTACAATTGCCATACACCCACAGTCGGTCAGCAACTTTGCTATATTTGCAACAGAATTGCGCTCTCCTCTTCATCTTTGTATACATTGCGCTAACATACATGTGTACAAAGAAATTAATTACATGTCTTCCTTATACTCTAGCTAAAAGAAATTAATTAATAGTTACCTTTTTATCCCATTTCATCCCATCCTCTGACCGGTAGACTTCCAGTTGTCATACACCTATAGTCGGTCAATAACTTTACTTCATTTATAATGGATTTCTTCTCGCTACCTCATCCTTGCATCTATTGCACTAACATAGATATATACAAAGAAACAAATTAAGTGTCCTCTTTAGACTGCAGCTAAATGGAAAAACCTTACTTATAATGTATACCACTAAGTACCGTTGCTGTCATACGTTCGAGCATATTTTTGTTCCTTAAAAGGTCAAAAAATCTGTGATTCTTAAAAGGTCAAAAAATCTTGAAACATGAATCCACCTTGTAGAAACATGGAAAGCCTAAAGATACTTCAGACATGAACAAACCAGAGATGTATAGCACATTAAAGTCAAAGTATGACTTTTCAATTTGGGATCAAGGGTAGATGTGGTCAATTACAACAAAAGGAAAATGGTCTTTGAACACAAAGATTGACTAAAGGTAGAAGTTTGAGAAAATGCAGATATTCTTGTGCCAATTCCAACCTTGCATGAAATATGTAGTAGGCACACTCACAGAAACAACAAAACAAACACCTTAAATGCATAGTAAACATTCAAACTAGGGATACATATGATTTTATTTAGTATCCACAAACAACAACATGATGTTGTTCTCTACTTGTCGAATTTAAAGCGAATCAAAACCAGACTAAAACATGAAAAACTACAAATTTACAGCAAACCGAAACCAATTGCTCATTATGGTAAGTTTTTCTCCAAATTCCCCCTATTATATCTACTAGCACAATCCATTTTTGGTGACCAAAAATCTGGACTCAAGTAAAATGATCTAAGATTAAGGCATTACATAGAAGACTAAAAAATCCACTTGTCCTAACTTCACAGTCAAATTATCCAATGCTTACGGAAGATAAACAAAAAACAATCAATTCAATTGCAATCGAATGTGATATAAGTCTGGAGGTTTCTGATAAAGAACTTATTGTCAGGCAAAAAAGAAGACAGATGCAATCCCACCTTAGATAGATTCAGATTCTACAAAAAAAAATCCAAATATTTCCCGATTGCAGATAGATAGAATGGAAGAAGAGGAGCAGGATTCCTTTTTTCTCAACAGCAGATGTGGGCAAGTTTCAATCCTTTCTGTAGACCGGGAAAATATTATGGAGATTTTGTAAGAAAACAATTTTGTAGAAGAAGCAAAGATTGATGGAACAATTAGGGTTCATGAATCTGGCTTTTCATTGAGTCGAGATCCATTAATGTAAGAGAACGAAAGAGAAGATGATGGAGACAAATCGGAGAGAAGCGGTGAAGAATGACAGGTATGAGGAGTTCACCGGGTTCAGTGTCGCCGCGTGTCCTTGACCGACCAGGAGCGGTACATAAACTGGTGCTGACCCGGTGAACTCCCCAGTTTACATTACTTAGATAAGCCTTTTGGCCTGTAGGATGGCCAAGGAAGATGCATTTCAATGCTCTTGCATCAAACTTGTCCTTTTGAGGATTATTATTGGAAATGAAACAAAGACATCCAAAAGTTCAGAGATGGCTTAGCTCAGGAGGTTTATTATTTAGGAATTCAAAAGGTGCCTTCCACCTAAAACAATAGTTGGTAATTTTTTATGATATAAAGTGGTAGCAGGAATGGCATCCCCAAAATTTCTTTGGAAGAGAACCTTGGAAAATTAAAGATCTTGCCACCTGAAGTAAATATTTGTGCTTTCTCTCTACAACTCAATTTTTTTGTGGAGTGTAAGAACAACTCTTTTGATGTAATATACCTAATCTACAAAATAAGGAAAGGCATTCTTGGTTAACAAACTCAGTTTCATTACCGGTTCTTACAGTTTTAAGTGGTTTTTAAAACTAAGTCTGAAGCATGGAAAAAAATCTGATAAAATTTGAACAGTTGAAGTTTTACATATGATCAGGAAAGTCCAGGTGCATCTACTATAAGGGTCAACAATTATGACAAAATAAGAAGTTTGAGTAAGATTATAATGAGAAAATGGCCCCCACAAATCAACTTGTATTATTTCAAATATTTCAGAAGTAGATGAAGTACTTACATGGAAAGCTAGTCTATAATGCTTAGCTAATGGACATACTTTACAAAAAATAAAACTAGGATCAACATTTATTCTGAGTGTAGTACTAAGATGTTTCAATACATGTGCTGATGGATGACCTAGTCTTAGATGCTATTGAATAGTGGTGGCATTATTACATGAAGCTGTAAAACTAAAATGACTCAAAAAAGAAGTATCTTCATAAGGCTTGATAGTTGAGTGAAGTAACAGTCTAGGTAGACGAATGTGGATTTATCTTTTTATTTCAACAGGATCAAATGAATCTCTAGTGGGCACATACAACCCTTGCATCACTTTGCCAATACCAAAGATCTCATCAGTCACGAGGTCCTGTAATATGCAAAGATCAGCCAAGAAATCAAAGAACAGGTTAGAATGTTTGGTCATTTGTCTAACAGAGATGAGATTATACTTGAATGTAGTCACATTTAACACATTTGTGAGTGTGATACCAAAATTTACATGCACATTACCATGTTTGAGAAATATATTGTTCATTACCATCAGGCGAACGTACGGGAGTTAATGAACTAATAGGTTTTGGATCGAAAAAGAAAGGAAGACTCGGGCTCATGGTTCCAAACATTCATGTATCAAATAACTAGATATAATATTCTATGACAGGTTTACTCTTCAATTTATGGTAAATAATGCTACCTACTGTTTGAATCAAAATTGTATTTTATAGTGGAAACCGATTTGGCTCAAACTAATTTCAAGCGACCACGTGATATTCTCAAAGTGCATAAACCAAATGCTGGAATTGTCTTAAACAGGGTGATACCTTTGAATTGGCACTCAACCGCACAATGAGAAATTCTAAGAAATGAATAAAACGGCTTGCATGATCCTATTTTATGGATTGAATGAATACGAATTGGCTTTGAATAGCCTTTCCCGGTGCCTCCTTTATTGCTTTTATACAGATTTTGCCAACCCTAGCTAGGTTGCAACAGAAGTCAAATTCCACAAGGATTTCTATTGCAGCTGGAATGCTTCCTCGATATGGACTGCGGCGTCATTGACTCCTTTTCGGACTCGGCTTCCTCGCTCTCTGTTGCATACCTGAATTCTAATCAAGGCAGGCTTCAACCCGATTCTCCCTTCATTAAAGTGCTGCGATCGGCCCATTCTCATGTGGACCAGATTTGTCAAAAATCGGTCCAACATAAAGCCCCACCGAGGGAAGCAAAATTTGCATACAGGAGCCCAAAATTTGCTTGCCTTAATATCAACTCTCCAGCCCAAATAATGGGACGATCCAGCAAACCCTTCCAAGGGGGAAAAAAATCGATTGGCCCAACATCCCCCCCCCCAGCAAAAGTGCGTGTGAAAGACGCGGGTTTGTTTAAGCGGCTCCCTGATTGCACGCTATCCGAGCGTTGACTGGGATTTCAAACAAGATAATGTTGGAGGGAGAAAGCAACAACAATAGTCTTCAACAGCTTGTTTTGTTTATGTTATGCCACAACGGAAACTAAATCTTCTCTGATTCCAAATCCCCTTCAATTCTAAAGTTGTTACGATGTCGTCTTTAAGATGTAAAGATCCGAAACCGAATCCACAAACAATCAATTGATTCTACAATTTCAAAACTGCAGCCGCGCACTAAAATCTACAAAACCCCTCTTTCAATTCGAAGCACACCCTTATTTTTCAATCATCAACACAAAAAGATAGCCGGAGCCGGCATAGTGAACCCAATGGCGTTCGATAGAGTCAAAGCTGCAACGCACGGTGTGAAACCCGGAGATGTGAGTTCGTTGCAACCGACTGAGAAACGAGTGATTGTCCATTTCAAGTCCGATGCACGCCAATTATCGCTTGGGCCAAACTTCCCATCGGCGCCGGAAAATCTGAAAGAATACATTCTGTTCCTGAACCCAGAATCCACGTACTACAAGTATGAGAATCCCTGCAAGTTCGAGAATTGGGAACGGCTGCGTGTCTGGCCGTGGTCAGACAAACCCGAAATCCATAAGGCCTTCGTTCACTGGTACTACCAATTGGAGCCGGAATACGCCGATACTTGGAGGATGGCTGGGATCTATGACCTGTTGAAGTTCTGCACCATAGGACTTGGCAAAAGTAGAGATCTGGTGGAAGCTGTCCTAAGGTTTTGGAGTGAGAGCAGTAATGTGTTCTGTTTTCCATGGGGCCCTATGACACCAACATTGCTTGATGTATGCGTCATCACTGGTCTGCCTGTTGTTGCAGATGTGGCCGTGGATGGCAATGTGACTGATGATGATGCAATTGCAGCAGCGGCAGGGCAGTCCAGAAGCTATGGACCTTTCATCAACGAAAATAAAGGGCACACAAGCCGGTTACATCATATCCGATTTCTTCAACGTTGAACAAGTATGTGTTTCCTAGGGAATCGTTTCAAATGACTATGGATTGGTATCATGTTGCTGGTAGGTTAGCATCTGGAGTACAAATGAACTTGGCAGAAGCTATACTTGCTATGTTGTATCATTGTTTGCATGAAGCCAGGCATAATCCTGGTGCTACCTTCTGTGGCCCTGTATGGTTGTTGCATTTTTGTTTATATATGTATTTTCCTAGCTTAGAGCCAGAAGGTATCTATCCTGTGGAGAGTGGTAAACCTTTGTGCCTTTGGGGTGCATCAATATAGTGCACCAAACTATGATGCCACACAAGTCTTCAAGATTGTCTTTGAATCGAACCCTAACATTGAGGCGAGTGTACAACAACTCAGCCATGACTGGTGGTATAAAAGCTTTGGGGAAGTTTGCCATGCTAAAGCAGAGAGCGAAAAGTGGGGCAACCATGGTAAATTCGGCATGGCATCTGTATGGAGCCATCTGCTATCAGCAAGGGACCTGTTTTATGGCTGTAAGAGTGCACAATCCCGGAAAGTAGTAGCAGACATGCATGCCGAATACTATCCGGCAAATATGGTAGCTCGGCAATTCGGTTTTGCCCAAAGCGTGCCGCACTTTGATGTATCTTGCTAGAATACAAGGAGACTTGGTAGAGAAAAGCTCACAATGTCTCAATATACCATGCATCGGGAGTTAATGGATCTGAGAGATAGGTCAGCAGCAACAATTCCATTCAATTTCTGTTTCAACGCAACACCTGGATTTGCAAACTGGTGGTATGAAATGTAAATTGGTATGTACAGTTCTGGATACGAGGCAATCAAAACCTCCTTTGGCATTGGCAAGTTTGCAAAGAACAAGTCAGTTGGTGGTGTTGCAGAAACAGAGAAGAAAGGTAAAAACAACTAATGCCCCAAATTTACACTGTAAATAAATCTCTTTGTGTCACTCTTGTGTCTAAATGTAATATTTGCAGGGAAAAGAAAAAGTGGTGTCGCAGCAAAGACTGGTGGTCAATCAAGCAAGAAGAGCATTGCAACCGCCGCTGTCAGGGCAAGAACAAGTACCCGGAAGGATGCTCCAACCTCCACCCGTCGACCCAAGAGGTTGATTGGGAGGAAGCGGTCTACTAGTGAAGTCAGCAATAAGGTAACAATAATATTACCAGCATCAGGATACCTTGTCAAACGGAATACTGACAAGTATTCTCCGTCTTTGCCATGTATGAACAGAAGAATCCTGTATCTGTGTCTGAGAGTGAAGAGGAAGAAGCAGAGAGCCCAGGCAGGGAGAAAGGTTCTGCTGCAGTAGCTGAAGATCAAACTGCACAGAAAATAGTTCGTGAGAATGGCGGTTCCAGAAGCAAAAGGACAATGAAAACGGCCAGTTCGAGCGCTCCAACCACTTTTGGGAAGAAAGCTCCTCCTTCCTTAGAGTCACTCAAAGCTAGATTGGAACGAACAAAAGCAACATCCTATGTGAAAACAGAAGAAACGTCCAGTGTCCCTGAAATGCCTCTAGGAGTTGCTTAGCACCAAATCACAGAGATGTTTCAATTGTCTGCCGAAGAAGTATACACCGAAAGGTACGACCAGTTGAGCCGATTGCTGGCCATTATCCAGAATGCCATCACCCAAGGGCATATGGCTGCAGCAATATGTTTAGTGTCTTCAGAAGCGGCCCAAAAGCAGATTGAATATCGAGTTTGCGTTCCCCATATTGTGGAATATCAGACTGCTTATGGCCTGCAGGAGAAGAACAAATTGCTACTTGAATAACTGATTGAACAGGCAGGGCAACTGAAGACCAACATCAAAGAGGCTATTGCTGCCAAATCAAAGGCAAAGGAAGAACTGGAGAAGGCACAAGCCAAACGCAAACAATTGGAGGCGGAGCTAAGTGGTGTTGTTGCGAACACTGATGTGGCACTTGATGCATATGGGCAGGTGACCACCGTTGTGAACCAGCTGCTTCCCAAGTTCCAGGATGCTGGAAAAGTTGTAGAAGGTGCGCAAACCAGCTAGAACTTTCTGAAGATTACCATTACCAAACTAATGCAGGAAGTAGGAACAGCTCCCGACTCTCCAATGCCCGTGACTCAGACCCCTCCAAGTCATCCTGAAGTCGGTGCAACAGCAGAAGAAAGGCAAACAACTTTAGGAATGCCACAAGATGTGACACCACCTGAAGAAGAGGCCATTGATGTGGCACCGTTAGCTAGCAGGCCTTCAACCCCTCTAGTAGAGATATGATATCGCTTGGGAATGGATATCTTGTTGAACCCTACTTTATGTATTTTTTTCTTATGATTTAGCCTCCTGGTGTTGTAGTGATCCGTGACCTGCACAAAATAATTTATTTGAACTTTTTTGTTAGTAATAAACAATGTCCTTGCTACTCACTTATTGATATCTTTTGGCTGCAATATCTCTCGCTAACTGTTGTTCTTCAGTATTGAGTTGATGCCAAGCGGTAGCAAAGTACTTGCGCAAATATGATGCATTGATGGCTCTATCTGCGATTGTTCCGTCCAGATCTCTCAAAACATAAACACCCCGGCCTGAATGTTGATGAATTATATAAGGGCCCTCCCAGGTGGGGCTCCATTTGCCATAAACACAATCTTTGTGCCCTAAATGTAAGATTGCTTTCCACACAATTTCGTTGATATTGAAATATTTATATCTGACAAACTTGTTGTAAGCCCGGATGATCCCCACTTTCTGGTGAATTATATTAGCTGCTGCTATGTTGTGGCAATAGGCCGAATTGTCATGATCAATTAGCATAGTTGTTGCATAGTCGGTGGAATCCAAAGGAGACTGTTTCTCAATTCGAAAGGAAGGGCCTAGAAATTCAACAGGCAACACAGCATCATGCCCATAGACCAACTCATATGGGGTTGCCTTTGTACTGTTTCTTTGTGTTACCCGATAAGCCCATAAAGCTTGACGCAACACTTCATGCCATTGCCGTGGGTTATCGAAAATCATTTTCTGTATGATTCCTTTCAAGATTTTGTTCGTTGATTCGGCCTGACCATTACCTTGAGCAAAATAAAGAGAAGAATGAGTTAGGGTGAAACCCATATCTTTTGCAAACTGCGTCATATCTTGACCGGTAAAGTACTGTGCTTAATCTGTGATGATTGTTTCCTGTAGATGATATATTCTTTGATAAAACTGATAACAGCCTTCTGATCCACATCCTTTAAAGGAATTGCTTCCACCCACTTAGTGAAATAGTCTGTTGCAACAAGAACATATCTGTGCCCAGCAGAAGAAGGTGGGTGAATCATGCCTATAACATCAAGGGCCCAACACCCGAACGGCCATGGTTTGACTATAAACTACATTGGCTCCGGGTGTGTATGTGGAACATCAGCATGTTTCTGACAATCTACACACCCTCTGGCAAAATTTATACAATCCGGAATCATAGTTGGCCAAAAATAACTGTGGCGGCGAAGTAGCCATGCCATCTTCCTGCTTCCTTGGTGGGCACCACAAAAACCTTCATGAGTTTCTTACATCAAGACCATGGACTCTGGTTTTTCCAAACATCGCAGGAATACTTCATCAGATGTTTTACGATATAACTGCCCTTGCAACAATATGTAGTTGGGCGCCTGTCTCTGGATAGATAATGGTGTATGGTATGTCGGGTCTTGCAAAAACCTGATAATCGGTGTTCACCAATCCTCTGCTGCAGTAACTGTTGCAACAGAAAATTCTACATTCAATGGATATCTTACATAGGCAGGAGTATTGAAATCAAATGTGTCGTAAGCAATATCTGGTCCCAATGGTGTTTTAAGGTACTCGGATGCTAATTGTGCCATATCATTTGCTTCTGCATTGAATTTTCTTTCAACGTTATGAAAATCAATATGCTGGAATTGGGCAGCTAACATATCCAACTGCTGCATATTTAGCCATGACTTCCTCACTTCGTTCCATTAATTTCTTCATTTGGCCAACAACTAAGGCAGAATCTTCGATGAATGAGTTGCACCATTATATAGAAGCGTCTCAAGTGCATGAATTAATCCTTCATATTCAGCTTGATTATGTGTAGCTTTAAAAATTAACCGAGCTTGACATCGCAGTTTTGGTCCAAACGGTGGTGTAAGCACTATTCCTGCGCCACTACGGTGAAAAGTTCTTGAGCCATCGAAGTGTACTATCTACATAGGAGTTTGTAACTGGTGCACTTGAAAAGTTCTAAGGAACTCATCGTCCCAATCATCATCAAGTGAAGGATGTTCGGCCAGGAAATCTGTTAACGCTTGCCTTTTCACCGCTGATTGCGGTACGTGTTGAAATTGATATTCCATCAAAGCCAGGACCCATTTTCCAATCCGGCCACTCATCATTGGTCGATGCAGCATGTAGCGGACAGGATTGATTTTACTAATAACACGGACTAGTCTCGGAAGTATATAATGCCGCAACTTAGTCGCAGCGAAATATAATGCTAAACAAAGTTTTTCAATCGGTAGATACCTGCGTTCAGTGTCTGTAAGCATTCTGCTGAGGTAGTATATAGCTCTTTCGAATCCGTCATGACCATCTTGTGCTAACAAACAACCCAACGACTCTTCTGTTGTTGACAAATATAGCTTTCAAGGTTTATCAGATATTGGTGGAACCATTACTTGGGGAGTTGATAAAGCTTGTTTAATATCCTGAAAAGTTTGCTGTTGCTCGTCACCCCATACAAAATCTGTTGTAGATTGCACTTTCAAACGCAGAGAGAAAGGTTTCAGCTTCTTCGACAGGTTTGAAATGAATCAGCGAAGGAAATTAACTTCGCCGATTAAGCTCTGTAACTCTTTCTTTGTCTTTGGGCGTCTAGCGTCAATGATTGCTTTAGCTTTTTCTACATCAATTTCAATACCCCTGGAGTGTACTAAGAACCCCAAGAAAACTCCTGAGGAAACAGCGAATGCGCACTTCAATGGGTTCAACTTCAGTTTATAATTCCTCATACGCTCAAAACATTGACGCAGATGTTGTAAGTGATCCCCAAAAGAATGCGATTTCATCACCACATCATCTATGTATACCTCCAGAACCTTTCCGATGAGATCATGAAAAATGCAGTTCATTGCTCTTTGGTACGTTGCTCCGGCATTCTTTAACCCAAATGGCATAACCTTCCACTGAAAAATGCCTAAGGATCCTGGCGCACGGAAAGTAGTCTTATGAACATCTGCAGGAGCTATGAAAATTTGGTTATATCCGGCGTTGCTGTCAACAAAACTCATGACTTGAAAACCCATCAACCTGTCAATCAATGTTTCTGCATTCGGCATTTGATACTCATCCTTGGGAGATGCTAGATTAAGGTTACGAAAATCCGGGCAGACCCCGGTTTTGCCATTTTTTCTTGACAACGGGAACCACATTAGATAACCATTCAACATATACTGCAACTTCAATAAAGTCAACCGCCAATAGACGTTCAATCTATTCTTTCACCTTGTTGACCACATCTTCTAAAAACCTCCTTGGCGGTTGTTTGAATGGCTTGAAACCCCTTTTCAAAGGGATACTGTGTTCCACCTAACTTCAATCTAGACCTAGCATTTCCATATAGTCCCAAGCGAAACAATCACAATACTACTTCAAAAGATCAACTAGTGTCGTCTTGTCATCGGCGGATAAAGAAGAACTGATATAAGTTGGCTTCTCCTCGCCAGATGATCCTAAGTTTATTGCTTCGACTGGTTCTTTCAACCGCTTCATCACTTAACTTTGGAGTTCCAGTAGCTAATTCATTCAAATTGATGACGTCACTGTCTGAAACTGGATCTTCATCATAAATTACTTCATCCCAACATACCGTAGGTATTTCAATTTGATGTTGATGCTCATTCTCTAAATACTGCAACACTCGCTTGATGGCGGCTTGCTTTTCATTTGTCTTCGACAATTCTTGATCTAACTCCATCTTCTCCAAAACACTTAACTATTCAATTGTCTTCATTAAATACTTCTTCAATAGACGGAGCAGCTGGCAACGGCCTTAACATGTTGTAATTGTATGGCATGTTGACTTCCTGTAAAAGTAACTTCCACTCTGGAAGAGTCATATCACGACGCATAGTGGCTTGTTGCGGCCGACCATACTTGTCCATCCCAACAAGACGGTATGGACCTACTTCACTGTCGTAATAATAATTCTCTACAGCATTAGCTTGAGCTGCAAATGGATTTGCATCGGCAGCTATGATTTCTGGTCCATCTGTTCCCCATATAATAATCACTTTATGTAATGAAGAAGGAATACATCTTGCTGAATGGATCCAGTCGCGCCCTAAAAGAGCATTGTAAGACGCTTTAGTGTCAACCACGAAGAATGCGGACACCACCACTTGTGATCCTACCTCCACTTGCAATGGTAGGATTCCTTTAGCGGTTGTAACGTCTCCTGTAAATCCGCAGACAAAAACTTCAGTTGGCACGAGATCTTTGAGTTCCTTGCCTAATCTCTGTAAAGCTCTTGTGGGTAAGATATTAATTGTTGCGCCATTGTCCACCAACACTCGTCTCAATGGTACTCCATCCATGATGGCACAAATGTATAATGGCCAAATGTGAGTCCCAGAGCTCTCAGCTGGCTGAGAGGGCATTATGATCGAGCCTTTACCTTCTTGAGATAGCAGCTGAATACCACCAACTGTAGCGTCATGTGGCTCCATTATGAATGAGGCTGCTTCAGGAACAACCAGTGTGTTTGCAACAGCTTTGGGGCTAATAGTTGTTGCAGTTGCAAGTTCTTTCAAACGAAAAGTTTTCGGTACCTTATAAACCATGTTTACTGGTGAGAAGAACGTATCCACTTTCCCCCACAACTGTGACTGTCTATCTTCCTGCCCTGAAAACTTATTCATTGACGTTTGCTGGGACAGCGGGGGTTGTTCCTCTTGTACCAGTCCTAACTTTCCTGTTGCACCCCTATTTTGTTTATTCATAACCCTCTACCTCGTCATTTCTGCATCCTGGTCATCTTTTCTTTCCTTAACGGCGGAGTAGGGAACTTGGGATGAACAGCACGATGCCATTCTCTATCATTCACAGGTGCTGCTCTGACTGACTTGGGCTCGGTATTGTCCCTTTGGCTGGAACGCTGAATCCGTTGCCACACTGATGGTCTTATATTATGAACTTGGTATGGCGAATTAGCCTTAGGGTTAACAATGGTATTCCCCAGTCATGTATGGACGGGCCCTCGTTGCTACGTCTGAAGAATGATGTTGTAAACTCTGTTGCTAATTTTTGTTCAAAGCACTCAAGATTGCATCTAACACCGCTCTTAGTTTCTCTTGCTCTGGATCTAAACGTGTTTCCTTTTGTACCCATGTCTGTGTCTGTCCATTTATCACTATATTCACTTCTGTTGCAGATGGATGTGTATTCTGTCGATGCAAATGACCTCCGAATTTAGACCCTAGCTCTTGTAGCTATTTCTTGACCTTATTATGTACTTTGTCACAATCTTCACAACCAGTGACCAAACATGCATCAGAGGAATGACTTCCGAATCCTACATTCACCATTCGGACCTGATGCTGTGGCGGGAAAGGATTGATACTCATTTCAACTAGGTCCTCCACTACCACATTGCCATCATCAAACATCTTTTGAAGTTTATTCCGAAACACCACACAGTCATTTATGGTGTGAGTCCATGACATGTGATGCTGTGGCGGGAAAGGATTGATACTCATTTCAACTAGGTCCTCTACTACCACATTGCCATCATCAATCATCTTTTGAAGTTTATTCCGAAACACCACACTGTCATTTATGGTGTGAGTCCATGACATGTGATACTTACAATACGTCTTTCCATCTAGATCCGCTGGCTTTGGTTGTCTATATCCCCTTCTGTACTAAATATGGCCTTTCTGGAACATGTCATCAAAAATGGCCTCTTGTTGCGATATGTCGAAAGAATATACTCTACCAATGTTAGCTCCGTCAGCTTGCCTTGAGGTGCCTGCCGGTGCACCTACCGGTGGGGGAGTATTATAAGAATGTGGAACTGTAGGGCGACGTAATGCGTCACACGTGTAGTTACGGACATTGACGATTTCAGCAGCATTAACCTCGTATTCATCATCGTCCTCATCGTGAACCCATTGATTCTGATTCACTTCTACTATTGGTGCTTTGTTGAACCATTGTTTCGTCTTTCCCGGGTTCTTCTCCCTTTTATCTTTAATTACTTTCTCGCATCTCCTCACAATATCTGCCAAATGATTCAAAGATCGAACAGAATGTGGTGCAACAGCCAACTTGACTTTGTAATCCTGAATTCCAGCAATTGCCATCTTAACAATAGTTGGCTTGTCATACTTATCTGGGATCTTAGCATACATTTGACGAAAGCGTATCAGATAGGCTTTCGCAGTTTCTCCAAACTTCTGTTGAATTTCTGAAAGATCAACGATTGATAACCGTGTTGTATCCCTACGAAAGTAAGATAAGAATTCTCGCTGCTGCATTTTCCATGACTGGATAGAGCCTGGTGCTAGTGATCGATACCAGTCAAAAGCGGTCCCTTTTAGAGAATAAGGGAACAAACGCAACTTGATTAGAGCATTGTTGTTTACTGATCTGCATTGGAATTCAAACAAACTTATATGATCTTCGCGTCTTTTCTCATCCTCTCCTGAAAATTGCTAAAAATCGAGAATCTTAAAGTTCCTTGGCAATGGCTCCAATTCAACATAGTCGGGATATGGTTTTCCTGGAATCTCTGGAATTTCTGTGCCCAGCTCCTTACGGATCTTGTCTTCTATCATTCTTGAAAACACATCCTCAGCGTTTAAAATCTAATCAATACCTGTCTCAAAATTCTGTTGCTGATTATCATTCGCTGCTGCGTCCGGTTCTTGTCTAACTTTGTTACCAAGATCAACCTGATGACGACCACCTCCTTGACCCCATAAACGTTGGTGACGTGGGTTGTGTCTATTTCCCAAATTCTGGTTTCCAATATGTCTTCCAATAGCTTGTGCCCTATTTCGGTTCAGAATCAGGTTTGCTTCGTACTCCATCCACTATTGTTCCTCTCTATTCTCTTCTAATGTTTGATGAGGTGGAACAATTTCCGGATCAACAACCACAATACCAGAGCCTTGAGGTATGTGTGAATCATCCAAATTTGCAGCTGCGGTACTATTTCCTAGTACTCGGTTCTGATATAATATAAAGTGGCGGTCACGTGTTGACCAGCCTGCCTTGCATTTTCAATAACAGCACCTTGATTGTTTCTCGTACCAACAGGGCCCTGATTGATTGTTACACCCGCAGTTCCTTTGACACCTACATCTGTTGTTCCCTGTGGTATGTATGTTAGTCTAGGCGCACCTTCTTGTCCACTCAGTTGTGATGGGACCACCACTGATCCTTGTTGATGTTGCATTGGTAAAACTTGCTGCAACATTTTGCAACTGAAATTTATTCGCCCCTTGCGCATTCCTTGCAACAGTATTATTTGTAGCATTTCCCACCTGCTGCATTCCCAGAGTCACCAACCATGGCACCTGGAATCTTTGATAGGGTAATTGTTGTCCCCATGACGTTCCAAGCATCATCACTGGTGTGCCGTATTGAGGAGACAATGGAGGCAACTGCCGTCCATCAAAAGTGAAATTCCCTGGTGGTGACACAAAAGCTGGCTGACTTGGAACAACTAGGTAATACCAACTTTGTATTCCTTGTAGTGCTGCGTTGTGAGATCCACTGTTACCTGATCCCACTCCGAGATTCTGCACCGGAGTATCTGTTGCAGATGTCTGGAATATGGCATGATGTAAAGGATTATTAACCATACTGACTGGTGGCACCTCTGAACTCACTGCTCCTGTAGCCGTGTTAAATCCTGATGTCATAGATCTACTAAGTGTAGCGCTTCCTGTATTTTCATTATGGTCAATTAGCCTCTGAAAAGCATCCTCAAACGCTCCACTTGTGTAGCCATAGCATGCTCTATTTCTGAAAATCGTTGATGCAACATCTCAGGGGTTATCCCCAGAACCTGACTCATTTGGCCCTGGATACCGAACACAAGAACCTGAAACAACGGGCTCTGAAAGGCTGGAGTTTGAAACCCTGGACTTCTATAGGACCTGAGAAAACCTGATCTTTCCCCGAATAGACCTGATCCCACATTAGACTGTTGCTGGCTAGATTGCATAGGAATCCACCGCCGAAATGTTTGGAAGCATATTCTAGTGGACTGATCCGTTGTTACTGTTGAATAGGAATCCACCACCGAAATGTTTGGAAGCGTATTCATCGGCAAGGAACTCCCACCTGATGCAAAAGTCTGAATCGGTATAGAGCTCTGTCCTGTTGAATCTGCTATTACTGATGATTGAGGTAATGACATCGTTTTTCTGCTTAAACAACGCCTGGAACACGCAAATCGGTTCCACCGGGCGTGCCAAATTTTATGTTGAGTCAAAATTGTATTTTATAGTGGAAACCGATTTGGCTCAAATTAATTTCAAGCGACCGCGTGATATTCTCAAAGTGCGTAAACCAAACGCTGGAATTGTCTTAAACAGGGTGATGCCTTTGAATTAGCACTCAATTGGACAATGAGAAATTCTAATAAATGAATAAAACGACTTGCCAGAGCCTGTTTTATGGATTGAATAAATACGAATTGGCTTTGAATAACCTGAATCGTCGAAATGATTACAATGTTTAAAGCTGAAACACAAATGAATACATAAAAGCTTAAAATTGCGAAGAACAAAGTTATAAAAGAAAATATGATTTTTGATTCTTGGATGATGATGATGCCTTTCCCGGTGCCTCTTTCATCGCTTTTATACAGATTCCGCCAACCCTTGCTAGGTTGCAACAGAAGTCAAATTCCGCACGAATTTCTGTTGCAGCTGGAATCCTTCTTCAATATGGACTGCGGCGTCATTGACTCCTTTTCGGACTCGGCTTCCTGGCTCTCTGTTGCATCCGCGAATTCTAATCAAGGCGGGCTTCAACCCGATTCTCCCACCATTAAAGTGCTGCAATCGGCCCATTCTCATGTGGACCAGATTTCTCAAAAATCGGTCCAACACCTACAAAGTTGTTGATGTGAGCAAAGCTCACCATGTGTGAAGATTCAGTTCCTATAGCTCCTTTTCCTTTACTAATTATGTTGAACTCTTCCACTGCTGAAATAGTTGTTTACCAAAAAAAAATTAGAAAAATTTAAATGGACAAAGATTCAAAACGTAAAAACAATGAGAAATAATTAAATTGGCAAAAATTCGAAGTGTTTGGGTTCATCATAATGCATATAAAAAATGCCTCGTTGCACATATCTCATAAATCTTTTGGAAAGCATGTTTGTGGAAAGCATTGCTTTTCTTTTTTTTTTTTTTATTTGTTCAAGGTGAGAGCAGATGCAGAAAGAAAAGAACAAATAACATAATTACACAAACAAAGATTAGTTTACGTTGTTCAACACAACTTCATGGGTTAACGCCTTTCGTGTTAGTCAAAATTCAAACGTTGATTTTATCTAAAAACATTAATGATTAAAAGTTAACGTGTAAATGATTTCATGAAAAAGCGAATTAGTAAAGTTACTAGGTTACTAATTCACAGGATAACCCCTTAGCCCAAATCTAAAACTGGACAGAACCAACTTATGCCATTTATTATTTCATATAGATAAACATACATCATCCATTCTTTTTGGGTGAAAGGTAAACAATATATTAATGATAAAAGAACTCAATCGTCACCATTTTATAATGCTTACACTACTAACTTGTCACTACTATTAGCTATCTATTTACAAAAGATTACAACAATATTCCCAAACCCAAAACAACCTTAAAAAACATTTGTAGCACTCTTTCTTCTCCTTTAGACCAAGCTCTCCTCTGCTTCCCCCATATTCTGATCTTTACTTCATTCTGTATTAGTGCAAATATATCCTCCACTATCCTAATTAACAACTCCAGTGAATAACCTTCTGTTCCTTTCTTCCCATGTATGGTAAATTGATGCAGCTAAAATAGAAAGAAGAACTCTCCTTTTCATTCAAGTCCCTTTCCAAATATTTATAACCTGCATTTGACACCTTTCCAACCATTCCTGAATCTTTTCCAACTATCCAGAAGCATAACTACATTGAAAAAATAGATGTCTAGCAGACTCATCTACTTGAGAGCATAGTATGCATTTACTATCCAAAACAGGAATATTCATACGAATTCGTCTATCTCTTGCCAGAATTCTTTGCTTTCAAACTAACCTATAAATGAAAGCATGTTTCGGAATATTCATACATGGCCATACACATTGAGCTCCCTACCATTTTCCTTGCAGTCCCATTAACCACTAATAACTTGAGCTACTATTATACACTCCATTCCCCATAGACTTCCATCGATTTCCATCAAACCCTTCTCTAGCAATATCTCTTATTTTGATAATTTGCTTCTAGTGCCAACTATTCTCCAACTTAGGTTGAATATCCCAGATGGAGAACTTCTTTATATATACAGAATGCACCCACTTAATCTACAGATTACAGCTTTTTGCGCCAGACTCCACACTTGTTTTAAGGTTACAGCTCTATTCCATACTTTAGCATCTCTAAAACCAAGACCCCCTTCTAATTTTTTCATATAGACTGAATCCCAGTTGACCAGATATATAGTTTTACCACTACTCTTATTCCCCCATAGGAACTCCCTACATATTCTATTGACAGCATTTGTTACACTTTGTGGAAGTATGAAAACAGGTCCCCAATAAACATGCATGGATAATCAGTTGCACTCTACCAGCATACGGAAAATGCCGAGAACTCCAACACTTAATTCTAGCAACCATCCTATTAATAATTTCATTACATTCTATTTGAGACCATTTCCTAGGGGAAAGAGAGACATTAAGGTACTTCATAGAAAACGTGCCTTTTCGAAACTGGGTCAAGTTACATACCTCTTCCTGTAACTAACTATTTACACCAGACCAGATGTCTTCAAAAACTCAATGAATACTGCTTTTATTCGTACAATAGTCTTATGATCTAGCTTGCAGAAGACCATAAGGCCATCTGCAAAACAAATATTAGCGAGTTTTAAATGGACCCAAAGAGGATGGAATTTGAACCATGACTGCTAAGCTAATCTCTTCAAGCTTTTGGTCAGATACTCTATGATCAACACAAAAAGTAAGGGTGAGACAGGATCCCCTTGCCTCAATCCTCGCTTCCCTTGGAAAAAAACTTGAGCAACTTCCATAGATCGATATAGAGTAGGAAGTTGAAGTGATGCATGCCATGATCCACTTTCGAAACTCCTCAGTAAACCCATAGCCTATCAACATCTCATCCTCAAAACCCCATTCAACAGAATCATACGCTATTTTAATATTTATTTTCATTAAAACTCTTCCACTAATCCCCTTCCTCCCATAATGCCTAATCAGCTCTGGAGTTATCAAAAATTGTGCAATATAAGCCTGTTCATTAGAAAAGCACTTTGGTTCCCATCTACTAGACCAAGAAATACTACTTTTAGCCTATTAAAAAGAATTTTTTGTATACTTTTATAGACAATATTATAGCAAGAAATAGGTCAAAACCAAGAGGCATTTCAAGGAATATCTACTTTTGGAATTAAAGCTATAAATGTTGAGTTTAGTTACTTTAATACGTGGCCATGCTCAAAAAACTCCTTCACAGCATTGATCACGTCTCGTTCCACCACGTTCCATGTTGATTTGAATAATCCTGCGCCATATCCATCTGGGCCTGGATTGTTATTGACATTCATGCTCCAAATGGCTTCTTTGATATCCTTTTCTGTTACTGGATGTATCATTACTAATTGTTGTTCAACACTGAGTTTACTCCCCTGTTCAAAAATATCCTGATCAGCTGCAACCCTGGGAGATGCCTTCCCCAGCAAGTTCCTGTAATCTTCCACAAAATTCTCCTCAATTTGCTTCCAGACTTTTATTACTTCTCCCACATCATCCACAATGGACCGTATTCTATTCCTCATATTCCTTGCCTTCAATTTGGAGTGGAAAAAAAGCTGTGTTTCCATCTCCATTAACTATCCAATCCTCCTTTGACTTCTGCTTGAGAAAACTCATAGCAGCTTTGTTTGAAGAAATAAACTTAACATAACTCTCTCTTTCTGCTTTAACTAAGTCTTTAATCTTTTTAGCTTTGAGCATAGCTGAAACATATGCATTCCCTCACTGGTTCCTTCGAAACTTTGTCTCACAACCTCCAACTAATGATGTGGACTTTTTAGGTGATTAAGCTCAAGGGCATCAAGATGCTAAACCATATAATCAAGTTCAAGCTCAAAGAGTCATTCAGGACCCACTAGCTAATGTCGGAGGTCCTATAAAGATATCTCGAACGAAGAAAATGAATGAAACTCTCACAAACTTGTTCGTGGATGTTCATGTTCTCAAAGTTGATTGAGTTCCATGGGTTTCATGTTTGTATTGGAATGGAATTAAAGCTTTTGAAGCATGTCAACCTGATGGTTGCGATGATGAGGTCGACAACAAACTCGACAGACACCAGTCGAGCAAGCTGCCTGTTGACGTACAAGCCGACAGAACTAGTGCAAACTTTGCTAGTATTCCTAGTTCGAATGGGAAAAGGATTTTCCCGTAATTTTCTTGCATTGACCGATTATTTTATCCTTCTGGAATATTATAGTTGGTTTTAAATAATTGTGACATGTGCAATTATTTATTTATTTGATAATTTTTAAGTTTTAGGAAATTTTATGAAACTTCTAGTCTAAGAAATCTGAATAAGAGTTGTACTTGGTTTTCTCTTCCTCCTAGCCGACTTTGAACGTCCCTGAGCCTATAAATAGAGGTCGTTGGCATTGCTTTTGATATGTGACTTCAATTACAAAGAATCTTATTCATAAACTTGTGAGATTTCTCCTTGTTTTCTTATCCTTGCGAGAATAACTTGCTTTTCCAACAAATTAGGGTTTGTTCTTGAAGCATAGCTAACCTTGGCCAAGTTTTCACGTGTTCTTTGTCTTTGGACACTTTATTTAACATTTTAGTTGAGCACACCAAGCCTTCCAGCGTTGATCTATAGCGTGTGGGGTGCTTCGGGAACTAGGTTTCAAATCTTAATCATCTTCTCCATCTCTTCTATTCTTTCTATCACGTGTTGGCTTGGATTTTTGTTGGTCCAGCCTTCCCTTTCTTTGGATTGTGTGTTTTTTTAGGAATTTTGTGTGTGGTTGCAAAGATTCAAACATTCGGGCAACTTTTCAAGTCAAGCATCCGTAATAATCGTGCCTCGGATAAAGATTCATATCAAGTAACATGCAGAATGGCTCCACATGTTAAAGTATCTGAATGGTCTAGTTA